ATATATATATATATATATATTTCCCCCCTATAACTAATGTAAATTTTAAAAAGAATGAAAAAATAACGCAAGGAACAGAGCACTTGCCCAAGACACTGAAATCCTACCCTGCCCTTAAGATACTCATCCACGCCCCGCCCCCCCAGCCCCTTCCATTTACCTGGGGTTTCCAACTGAAGCGTTTTGCTGACAGCCTCAGCACTGGGATCCACGTGGTATCTTTTCACTTTTTCCTGCAGCACAGCGTCAAGAGTCTCCTGGGCAATCCGCCGTGCTGCCATCTTTCCTTGCCCTGTGCAGAGAGGAAAAGAATTACATTCCCTGCTCGGAGGCCCAGCTCTTCTTCATCTAATCTTCCAGGTAAGCAGTCACCTAGTCTTGGACTGGCAAAGGCAAACTGGCCTGGGGGTGGGGGCGGGGAGGGTGCTTGTGCCCACTCATTATTGCATGTGTGGCAGAGAGAGGGGCAAGCTTCCCCGGACCTTTCTCCCCGGGGTCTCTAATTGGCTTTTGTTCAGGCTGGTACCAGTGGCTTACACCTGTAATCATCCTTGTAATCCCAGCTCCTCAGGAAGCTGAGATACCAGGATGGTGGTTTGAAGCCAGTCCAGGCAGGAAAGTCCTGTGCGTTTTTTGTGGGTTTTTTTTGCCAGTCCTGGGGCTTGAACTCAGGACCTGGGCTCTGTCCCTAAGTTTCTTTTGCTCAAGGTGAGCCCTCTACCACTTGAGCCACAGCGCCACTCCTGGCTTTTTCTATGTATGTAGTGCTGAGGAATCGAACCCAGGGCTTCATGCGTGCTAGACCAGCACGTTACCACTGAGCCACCTTCCCAGGTTCCCCTCTGGTGGGATTCTTATCTCCAATTAACCAGCAAAAAAAAGCCAGGTGGTAGAGCGACCACCCAGAGTTCTGAGTTCAAACCCCAGGACTGGTGCACACACCAACAAGAACCATGGCGGGTCTGCAGGAGGGCCTTCTCACACAGCCCTCACCGAGGCTAGGTGCGAGGGTGGAAGGGCAGGAGGCAGCCCCGGCTGCGGGTGGCCAGGGCGGACATCCCCTCTCTCCCCACTCTGGAACGGGGAGGGAAGTGGCGGCGGGCTCCGGGCTCCCTGTGCTCGGCCTGGGCGCCGGGGGCGGCGGGCCCAGCGCTCGGGCCGGGGCCGGGGCCGGGCCGGGGGCGGCGGGCCCAGCGCTCGGGCCGGGGCCGGGGCCCGCAGCTTTCCAGCCCTTGCGTGACCCGCACCCCTTCGCCCCTCCTCCGCGCGCTGGCCCGGGGCGCCCCTTGTTCACCGGACGGGGGGCGACTCAGGTGACCTAGCCCCTCCTTGCCTCCGTTTCCCCGTCTATGGCCGCTACGGGTCCTCGGCCAGCCCAAAACGATTCGGGCGAACGGAAGGAATGAATGAACGAACGAATGAGCCGGTGTCCCGGGCCGCTCTGCCCCGCCCGCCCCGCCCCGCCGGAGCCCCGGA